AAATTCTAGATCCATCAAGAGGTTATAAAATTCTAGATCCATCAAGAGGTTTTGAAGTTCTAGATCCATTAAGAGGTTATGAATTTCTAGATCCATCAAAAGGTTGTGAAGTTCTAGATTCATCAAGAGGTTATTTATCAATTACGAGGAAATAGGGAAAGTAAGTACTTAACAGAGAATAAGCAAGTCCCAGATGTGAGATTGAGAGAGAAGGTGATGGTATCCACAATAAGTGTTCACATACAGCTTTTTCTCCACTTTAAATCCTTTCTGAATTGATTTAGAATATTAATATACCAACAAATCTGCATATTTTAAGCATTTCTTTTTTTTTAACTTCCGCTCGGGAGTAAAGAGGATAAAATAACCAAACAACTCTTATGTGCTAGTACTATCAAAGCAGGCTGTGAAAAGAAGCAAATCACATAATGGAAAATTTAAACTAGACTCACAATAAGCAGCTGAGGACAAAACTCCTGGGGCTTTGGTGACAAATGAACCCAGGATTAAGGGGCCTGCACATGTGCAGAGAAGTCATAGAATTCAAGTTAAGGTCCTTCATGGATGATCATAAAGGATCATTCTAAGCAAGTCCTGTGAATAAGAAACATTTTAGAAATGGCATTTTAAAATATTATATATTTTATATTTTAAGTAAAATAGCTGGGCACAGTGGTACTTGCCTGTAAATCCCAGCAGCTCGGGAAGCTGAGGCAGGAAGATCTTGAGTTTAAAGCCAGCCTCAGCAAAAGCAAGGCGTTCAGCAACTCAGTGAGACCCTGTCTCTAAATAAAATACAAAATAGGTCTGGGGATGTGGTTTAGTGGTCGAGCACCCCTGAGTTCAATCCCCAGTACTCCCCAAAAATTAAAAAAATTTTTAAAAAGTAGGTAAAATATTAGCAAGACATGCCAAGCATATTTCAAACATTAAGAAATCAGACCTTAAAAAGGTATTATCATTTAGTTAGAAAAAGGAATGTGACATTATTTATAATAGCCAAGAGCTGGAAGCAACCCATATGTCTATACATAAATGAATAAAGTGAGAATACACACCTATTGTAATAGATTAGTGATTTTCAGTGGCTATAAGGAAGTAAAAATGGGGAGTAATTAGTTCATGGGTAATAGATTTCTTTGAGTAGTGATGAAAATATTCTGGAATCAGGGTGATGGTTGAACAACTTTGTGAATGAACTAAAATCCACTAGACTATCTCATAAATAAATAAACAGGCATTTTCAGCACTGCTGAAAGCTTTTGTAATTTCATAAAGAAGTCAGATTTGGGGTTGGGGTGTAGCTTATTGGTAGAGTACTTGCCTCGCATGCATGAAGCACTGGGTTCGATCCTCAGCACCACATAAAAATATAAATAAAATAAAGATATTGTGTCCATCTACAACTAAAAAATATTTTAAAAAAGGAAATCAGATTTTTCTTGAACAGGGGATGTTAGATTCAATATTAAATCTGATGGATTTTTTTCTTTCTACATTTTTTATTGGTGCATTATGGTTGTACATAATGATGGGATTTGTTGTTACATGTTCATACATGAAAGCTGGCAGATTTTGATTAGGGAGCAGACAATCTCCTGAGCATGACTGTTTTAGGCTTTTGGTGTATCCTTGAAGTCTTTCTCTCTACTGTGACCTGGTGGCCGCAGTCCTGAATTGCAGCATTAACAAGGTAGAATTGATTCTTTTTTTTTTTTTTTTAATTTTTTTAGTTGTAGATGGACACAATTCCTTTATTTTATTTATTTGTTTTTATGTGGTTCTGAGGATCAAACCCAGTGCCTCACGCATGCTAGGCAAGTGCTCTACTACTTGTGAGCCACAACCCCAGCCCATTGACCCAATCCTTTTTGAAAGCATAAATTTATAGGCACGATGATAATGCATATTCCAAATACAAGTATAAATACTGAACATGCTATGGTCTAGAATTATCATACCTGTCTTTCTAAGAAATGGCACAATTGTACAACAATAATAAAGATAATTGGATTAATGATTCCCTCAAGGCTTTGAATGACATCAAAATTCTAGGACTACCTAAATTATATTTTATATTAACCAAAAAATGCTACTGTTCCTTTACAGGACAGTTCATACCACCTCTATTATTCTCTTAATGATCAGCACAAAATTTTAAAGATTCATTCTTTGCTGATTTTTGTGGGGAACTGGGTTTTCTTCTTTCTTTCCTCTTTTCAGAATGGAATGATTGTCCACATTCTTTCTGGGAAATGCATGGAAGCTGTGGTTCAGCAAAACAATAAAGATTTGTACTTGCGTCAGTGTGATGGAAAAGTCAGCCAGCTGTGGCGATTTGACCACATCCACCCTGTGGATGAACGATGAATGCCGGAAGGCAAGAGAACATGAGCAAGTCACAGTTCTGCCCCAAGGAAACTAAAGGAGTACGTTTATATCACAAAGCAGATTCTTTTGTACTTGTGCTCCTGATTCAGGAGAGAAAGAAAGTTTTGTGAATCAATATCAGAAGCCCCTGGCTGTTTTTAAAAAAGAAAGAGTGGATTCATTGTCTTCATCACTGGAGATGATCATCATATATTACAGAAGATTCCTCCTCCTCCTCCTCCTCCTCCTCCTCCTCCTCC